GGACAATGAGGACTACTGAGACCCCAAGAACAATGGCAATGGGTTTTTGATCCTACTGCACCTATTGGTTTTGTGGGAGCCTAGGCAGTTTGGATGCTCACCTTACTAGACCTGGATGGAGGTGGGTGGTCCTTGGACTTCCCACAGGGCAGGGAACCCTGATTGCTCTTTGGGCTGACGAGGGAGGGGGACTTGATTGGGGGAGGGGGAGGGAAAGGGGAGGCGGCGGTGGGGAAGAGACAGAAATCTTTAATTAATTAATAAAGAAATAAATAAATGTTAAAAAAAAAAAGAAAGAAAGAGTCCTCACAGAAAGACTCCCTAAACAGGAATTTCCACAACACACTCTTTAAGAGTAGATTCATTTTGTATCACTGTAAAACATCCAGATGTTGGGACTATTACAGAAGCTGGAAAAATTACATAAATAGTGTACAAGAAACTACAGAACCTGGAAGACAGGCATGCTTTTTTTGCTAAGAAAGGAACTTATTTAATGGAAAACGAGTGACTGCTTTATACTATGTTCTGTTGGTATTTCAGCAAGCAGATTTCCTTTATACCGGTGAATTAACAAAAACATTAAAGGAAAGCCATGTATATGGACTTCAATTTTTCCAGTAAGTAATGTTTTGCAATACATGTTGGATGCTACCTATCATATCTTAAAATTTTTAACATAAAGCAATAGGTAATGGAAGTATATATTCAAGTTTTTTATCATTCCATTCTCTTTTAATCAGTATACATTCAAGTTTAAGTTTCTTAGAGTATGTTCATTTCACTAAATCGAAGAGTTTTATTATTATCATGTGAAAATTTACTGAAAAAAATAATGGATATATTTTTAAGCTAAAAATACACAAACCAGTCAATAGAAATCCATGCAAATTGTATCTAAGTCTATGCAATTATTCTTATGAATGCTAACGCCTCTAATGGGGATTGTAAGTAAGTGAACAGCCTTGGACATCAAAGAGAATCACTTGAAACAATAGGAAGGCAATCAAAAGAAAAGCATACACACTTTAAAGCTGGAAGAACAGGGGTGGAGGCCCTGCACTTGCATTTCATTCTAAATACCCAAGCTCCACCAGCAAAAACAGCAGCCTCACAGATGGCTAAGATAGATATACGACATACCAAAGTCGGTCAGACATAAAATACCAACTTTCTTAGACCACCACAGCACCACAACAAAACCAGAACTGAATCCCTATCACTAGTTATCACACACTTAAGTATATGGGCACATGAAAGCCTACACTATCCAAGTACTGCTTTACAGAAAATCCACTCACTATTACAGTAACATAGGAATCTGTCAAAATGCCTAGATATATGCCCCATTTATAACAATTTTCAGAAAATCCTTTGAATCAAATCTCTACAAGTTCAAATAAAACTGCAGAGTAAAATGACTTATTCCTAAAAACTTCATCAAAGTTAAAAAGCTCTTTGAAAAGGAGCAGAGGGAAAACATTTTTTTGGAAATAAAACAATTAGTCTTAAAGGAGTCCAAATGTACCAGGCTTTAAGTCATGGTCTGTACACCATTTCCTTATAGAAATTGCCTCATCTTGGTGGCTGGACAAGTGTCTGTCTTCTGTTATCTTTATCCTCTATCGGTGCTTATATTAATTGTATCCATAGACATGGCAGTGTGAATGTGTTATAAACTGGCACTGAATTAAATGATTTACAACTCGTACTATCTAGATTAATTAAACTGACAATAAAATGAATAAAGAGTTTAAAAGACACCTATCATGAACAATCTGCAGCACGAGGAAGCAGGGGAAGAAGGGCTCAAAGTCTGAGACAATCCTGGGCTACACAGTGAGACTCTGTCAGACACACACGTACATGCACACACACACACACATCTTTGGATCAAAATGAGATGATTAACATAAGCACCACTAAAGGTAAGGATAGGATGCCAGGCACTTGTCTAGCTACAGTGTAAGCTGACCAAGCATTAACGAAGTAAAAACAACGGCACTAATGTTCCCTTGATATCAGCGAGGAGAATGGCCCTTCACATCCATGGTCTCCTCAAACACCGCACTTCCTATCTTCATGAGTTAAAAAAAAAAAAAAACTGTCAGAAAATGTCAACAAGAGAATATTCTATAAAATAAATAGTACTCTTTGATCTTATCAAAGTCATCAAACACAGAAAATCTGAAAAATTCTCACTGTTCAGTGGAGGCTATGATCGTCTAGATGGGATTATGAGCCAGAAACAGGTCATCAGGAAAAAACAAGGCCAGTGTGAATAATGGACTTTAGTTAAGAGCGATGTATCAATGTTGCGTCAACACTCTTCACATGTGTACTGGTACTGAACCATTTCAAAAATGGCTATATAATCAGATCTTTAAAAAAAAAACTCCACCTATTTCCTGGATAGCCCAGTAAAGTGGTTTTTGCTTGTGTATAAGGAACTAAGTTCTATCCTCCTCAAAATCCATGGAGAGAACAAAAGCCGAGAAGAGCAGCAGGTGTCTGTGACACGGGTCCTGGAGAGTGAGACACAGGATGAGAGCGGGAACTCAACGGCCAGCCAGTCCAGCTGAAAGGTGAGTCCCAGCTCAGTGAAAGTCCTGTCATGATAAAGTGGTGGAGGGCTAGAGAGATGGACCGGTGTTTGAGGGCACTGGCTGTTCTTCCAGAGGACCAGGGAGACCGTGACAAAACTATCTGTTTCACAGGATCCAATGTAGTCTTTAGCCTCCAGAGGCACCACACATAAAAGGAGTGCATAGACGAACTGTGGAAAAAACACACCTATGTGTAAAATAGTAAAAATTAAAACTAAAAAACTAAGGTGGAGAACTGGGAAAGGCACTGTACGGCCATACTGTCGTCAAGCCAGAGTGGATGTGCGCCTGCATAAACATGTGCACACAAAGGGCCACCTAGCTGTGTTTACTCAGCAAAATCTCAGCCTCATCGGAAATACCTGGGGTGGAAATTTACATTCACTACTGATAACAATTCTTCCCTTCAGTAGATACTAATCTTGGACATTTCAGAATTTATAAGACAATAAATATTCACATAAATGATACATGCTTCAAAAGTATGAAGATAGTGACTCCAAAAAATAATAATAGTCACCATAAAAATGAAGAGATGTGACACTTACTGTCCATATATCAGCAATTCCTTACTAGGTGGACTCTCACAGTCGGGAATGAAGGGTACAAAACGACCTCACAATTTCCGGCTCAAAGCAACTTATAATTTAGTGCTGCAGCAGACAAGGGAGAAAGTAGTCACCACTGAGGACTAATGGAAAGGAATGCGTGTGATACTTGCCATAGTAGAAATGGACCCAGAGTGCCATGGGAATGCTTCAGCTGAGAAATGAGGCCTGGTACAGAAAAGGTCTCCAGAGCAAAGTCCCATCTGACCTAAATCTAAAGGAACAAGAAGGGAGAAATAAAGGGAATCAGTGAGATGGGGATGGGGCATGGACCGGGGGGTGTGTGGAGTTGGGGGGAACAGATGATAACAAGGCATAATGATACATGTGAATTGTCATACTGAAATACATCACTTTGTATGCATGCTAACCTAATTTATATGAGTAAGTATGCTAACCTAAAAGTTAATTTGAAATTAACAGATAAGGTGTAGGCTGATGTGGCATTCCCCTCTGTATGTTGTGAATAACGTTGGTTAATAAAGAATCTGTTTCAGACAGTGGCTTAGCAGAGTGGAACTAGGTGTGAAAACTAAACTGAATGCCAGGAAAAAGAAGGCAGAGTCAGGTAGCAGCCATGTAGCCCCTCCAGAGACAGACACCAGATAGAACTTTACTCGGTAAGCCACAGCCATGTGGTGATACAGATTAATGGAGATGAGTTAGTTTAGGATATAAGAACTATTCAAAAATAAGATTAAGCTATTGGTCAAACAGTATTGCAAATAATACAGTTTCTGTGTGATTATTTCAGGAGTCTGGGCAGCCAGGAATGAACAAGCAGCCTCCAACAACAGATTGGCACTCCAACGTGGTCAACTATATCCACGTAGAACCGAACAAAGCTTAAAAAGGAATTCTAGGCACAAAAGAACAGAGTTAAGCATGGCCTAACACTGTGGCTCCTTTATTAGAGGTTTTTCTGATTCAGCGGTAGCAGAAAAAAAAACGGAGCTTTCTGGGCCGTGTTGCCATTGCAAACTTTGGCTCTTTCAGGAGGTCAAGCATTTAAATGGGGTTTGCGGGCAGCGTGCTGCAAGTTATTTGATGACAGCATGGGCCAACTGGTTACCAGAGTTGAGGTAATGAAGGTGTGGCTCCCACCTGGCAATCTCAGAGGCACTGAACAGACTTCCGCCATGTTGAACTGGGCAGAGCAAGCAGGCAGGGCCTTGTTTGCCCTAGCAATTGTTTGCCGCTGCTTAGGTTTTTGAGAAGCACTTAGCATTTTAAGAAGCAGTCCTGGTCAGAAAAGGTTTACATATATGCAATAAGGACAGATTCAGACATAAAAGATCTCTAAATGAGACACAGTGTGTTTAAAAACTGTACATAGGCTTGGGATAGGGAAGAAAAAGAGTATAGAGAGTTATAAAAAGAAGTAAATGGTTTTTTAAAAAGCAAAACAAAATCTTTAAAGAAACAGAATACAGACAGTCATAAATTAAAAGGAGTAAAGAAAAATAAGGCACATAAAGATAGAAAATACACAGAGAGCCTAGATTATGTATATTATTGTGTTTTCTTTGAAATTTTTTTTTTTTTTTTTGATTTTCAAGACAGGGTTTCTCTGTAGCTTTTTGGTTCCTATCCTGGAACTAGCTCTTCTAGACCAGGCTGGCCTCAAACTCACAGAGATCCGCCTGCCTCTGCCTCCCGAGTGCTGGGATTAAAGGTGTGTGCCACCACCGCCCGTCTTTCTTTGAATTTTTTGACTGTAGAGAGACATTTGATTCTGGGGACTGCAAAGCTAAACCAAGATATATATTTTAAAGGTTTATTGACTTCAAAATTTGAGTCTAAGGATATGTTGCTTTGGAAAAGAGGTTCTTCTTTTGTTTCCTCAGAGGATGAGAACCTGTGGATTCATTCCAGGCTAATGTGATTTTATGGACCAAGACCCCTAAAAGGTCACCGTGAAGACCCCCAAAATTACCTTGCCCAACAAAAAGCAGGAAGCAGTTTGGAGAGAACTATACCCAAATTACCAAATAGTGTTTATAAATGTTTTCTTTTTTACATTTAAAGAAGAATATGGATACTTTTCATTGGTTTAGATCTTGGTTTATTGATACAAATTTAAGATCAATTTTGTTTTATATATATATGTGTATGTGTGTGTGTTTCTACTCTTGATTATGGCTTTGTGTTTATACAGCCCATTTAAAAATGTGATGTATAATCAAGAAATAAAGGTTAATATATAGTCATCTATAATAGTCAAGTTTGTAGTCATGTTAGTTAGATTTTCAGTTAGCTATTCTTCAAATCTTTCAGAGACCTTCAGAATGTTTTAAAAATTTAGCACTTTTCATGATAATGAGACACATCTGCTCCTGGCAGCACCAATCTACTTCAAAAGGAAGATGGGAATCAAAAAGGCTCCTATGGAGTTTGTTAGCCATTTGGGCAAGAAACTGCTATTGACTGGACTGCTTTATGATATGCTGTGTGAATCAGACATGCAGGGCTCACAGAAAAATAACTGCTGAACTTGCCTAAAGGTGAGACAGTCCTCTGAAGCTCCTGCTTCATGAAAGAGTTTGCAAGTCATTCTGAAGGACACAGAAGAAAGTGACTGACAATCTGCCAATATAGGTGAAACTGTCTTTGAAATTTCTTGCTTCATGGAAAAGTTTGCTAGATACTATGGGCCTGTAGGCTGAAGATGGATGCCCCAATGGTACAGAAGAACTTTGGGTGATTGTCCAGGCAGCAAGATGTCTTTGTCAATTCTAGAGTTTTGGACGTTGCTTACAATATACTTCCTGTTTACTTAGGTAATATTATATCCTTCTGGGGTCTTTGATGGAATTGAAGAATAGTTATAGTTTTCCTTAGTTATGATAAAAGATAAAGTAGATACAAATATTGTAACTGAATTTTTGCTTGATGCCTGTCTTGTTATATGTAATTTTTCTGTGTTAAAGTTAAAACCTTCCTTTTGATTTAAATGGAAAAGGGGAAGTGATGTGGGATTCCCCTCTGTATGCTGTTAATACCATTGGTTAATAAAGAAACTGTTTTGGCCTATAATAGGGCAAAAGAGTAGAGCTAGGTGGGGAATACTGAACTGAATGTTGGGAGAAAAATGGCGGAGTCAAGAGATGCCATGTAGCCATCAGAAGGGAAAGACATGAGCTGCCAAATGGAACCTTGCCGGTAGGCCACAAACCTCATACTAAAATATAAAATAATGAAAATGGGTTAAATTAAGATGTAAGATCTAGCCAATAAGAAGTTAGAGCTAATAGGCCAAGCAGTGATTTAATTAATACAGTTTCTCTGTGGTTATTTCAGGGCTGAGCAGCCAGAAACAAACAAGTGGGACCTAAAGCAGTAGGCCTAAAAACTGAGATCAGTAAATAGAGGTGATGCAAGCTACCTTGTCCAAGGCAATGCCCACAACTATCAAGACTACTAAGCAGCTAGCACACAATTTTGAGACAAACAGAGAAATTGGATTTATTTTGCTTTGTCTTAATTTTACTTTACCTTTAAAACTGGAACATTTCAATACAGTAAACTTAGAAACACATCATGAATTTGACATGTCTTTCTAGTAAGTCACAAAAACAATTCGGTGCAAGAGAGAGAGAGCCTTTCAACAAGTGAGACTGAAGTAACTGGACATCCAGAACAGTAAAGCAAAGAAATCCGAACTAAACCCTGTATAGCACATGCAAATTAATTCAAAATCAATTGCATCAAATGTAAGCTAGAAAACCATCAGGAAAACAGGGCAACAGTCTTCAGAGCAGGTGAAAAGTTGATACACTTTACACCAAAAGCCTGATGCATGAAAAGAAAAACCTGATAAACTAGACCATCAAAACTAAACACTTTTGTTCTAAAAAGACTCTTTTAAGATGATGAAAAGTAAACTGTAGAAGAAATCAATGCACACCACTGACAGGACTGGAATCCAAAACGTAAAAACTCTGAACAGCGAACAACAATCTGGCAAAAGGGGCAAAAGATAGTAGACACTTCACCAAAGCAAACAAGCAGACAACCAATGCATATAAAAACATGCTCATCATTTTCATAGTCTGGCACAGCAAACAATATCCCTAAGGTGATTAATCTTGTATTTCAACTTAATGGGACTCGGAATTATTTACAAAAAAAAAAAAAAACTTATATATAAGAAAGGTAGAGTCAACGTTATAATGGGGGAAAAAAAAAACCCAAAGAGAAAACTCAAAACATTTCCAAGGAAACCAGGAACAAGAGCATGTGAGATGCCCTGAGTCCAACACCCAGGAGCACATACCAGTTTTCATTCATAAAACCATAGCACATTTCTTGTTACCAAAAAAAATTTACTGTTATCAAGTGTTGAATTATATAACAATCCTTCATCTTCTGGTTTACAGAGAATCATTCACATCACATTCAGTTTAAAATGTCTCATGAGTTTCTGTTTGAGGCCTTTTATGTTTTTTTTTCCATTTTTTTAAACTAGGAATACACCTTTATTTTTATTTTAAATGTATGCTGTTTTGGTTGTATAAGTCTGTGTATCATGTGCACACCCACTGCAGAAGGTCAGAAAAAGGAGTCAGATAATCTGGAACTGGAGCTACAGCTGCTTGTGAGACACCATGTGGGGGCTGGGAGTTGAAACTAGACAGTGCTCTTAACAGTTTAGCCTTCCCTCTAGTCCCAAGAGGCTCTTGGCTTTTGTTTTTGTTTTATACCAGTGTTGGGTCCCAACAGACCTCAGGTATGCTGGATGAATAATCCACCTCTGAGCCAAGCCCCAAGTAGTAGTAATTTCCTAAGACAGTTGAATTAGTGCTGTTCTCAGTCTAGTCAGTAGTCCATGAGACACAGCACACACAAGGTCTTGATTTAATAAGCAGTTAAATTCAGAAGACAACCACTGACAAGCCCAGCCTCTCTTTCCCAAGCCCTTCCTGACTCAATGTGACTAACACCGTCCTTCTAAGACAGTATACAAGGTAATGTTGATGTAGCAAGTTTACTCAGACACGTGCAGCTCCGGGCACAGAACACATGGTCTAGAATAATTTAAGTATTTGTCTTTACTGCTCTATCAGCTACTTAGTCTTCTAGGCATTTGTGCTGTGATATGTTTTTGCCTATAGAACATACAAAGCAGTCAGTCAGTGCACGCATGTAAACATGGGAAAGTACAGATTAGGTACATGTGAAATATGTAAGGCAAACTGAGAATACAGAAAATAC